GGGGGGGGGAGGTGGGGGGGGAGCCTGAGGGTGAGGGTAGAAGTCGGATGGGATGCCAATGGCACTCTTCTTTGGGTGGGTGTGGTGTTCACTTTTGATAGAGGAAAGGTTTGGAGCGACTCGTCAGCTTCTGGAAAAGTCTGCGGATGCCCGAATCTGAGACGGTCCGGAAGTGCGGAGAAGTGATGGAAGGGTGGAAGGGTGTGAAGGGTGGAGCATGCGATCGGGTTGAGGTGGAAGAGCAAAGAACGTATTGTCACCAGCTCTTGCAAAACCATGCAAAACCCTTGCTGTCGTAGGGTTGAAGGAGTTGTAGGGAGGCTTGGGTGAGTAGCATCTGAAGTTCCAGTGAATTCCAGCCGCGGGTCAGGAAACATGTATACAGGAATCACGACTCAAACCCAAAAAAGAGCGCGGGGGGAAGCGCGTAGGCGTCGGTCTACATGGACCCCCACGACATCCCTCCAAATCCTCCAACCTCCTCCGAACTCGAGGAAAACCCCCGCATTTTCGGGCTTTTCGGGCGCGGTTTGCCGCCTGTCTGGGGCGGAAGGCCATGAAGTGCCCCGCGAAGTGGACCTTCTCGATGTCGGGCCCCACGCCCGGAATCAACGACAGGGCACCTCACGCGAGAAAGCCAGGATGAGCGGGGTGGATGAGCGGCACCGTGTGGGGTGAAGGGCCCGTTACAATGGGGGAAGAACCAAGCGCGAAGCTGGGCATTTGGCACGCAAAACGGGGATGAGTCTTCAAACGAGGAAACTGAAGACGTTTCCAATTCTGACGGGATGAAGTGTGACTGATGAGATGTGTTCTGAGCTGAATTGTCCTGTTGTTCTGATGCGTTCGCACCGCTTTCTAGGAGAGCGGGAAGAGCATTCCTGCAACACCGGCTTCTATCCTTTTTTTAATGTGGCAGTTCAAACGCCTCTTGGCTGTTGGGGAGATGTACTGCATGTAGAGTACGTAGAGGTACAATCCGTCGAACGCTTGAGCTCTCCACGGTGTGTTGTTCAGTAAGACTTGAGCACAGTGACTCCGACCTTTAAAGGGCATTCGGTCTTCAGAGCCCGAACACAGCTAGGGGTGAAGGCACACTTCACTTGTTGCCTTTGTCTTAAGGTATTGATTTGCAGTGCTGAAATAGAGAAAAATGGCACAATCCCATCGGTGGTTGATATGGAGCCCTATGTATGACACGTCTTGGGAGGCATTGTGCCATCCACTTGCGGCCAGGGGCCCCTAGTAGCTTCCTGTTCCTAGTAGTAAGGCCAGGAGCCCCTAGCAGCTTCAAGCTCAAACTCCCTGAGCTGCGACCGAGGTGAAACACCCAACCCCTGAGCTGCGCAGCTTCCAACGCAGTCCGCATGGGACACCAGGATGAAGTTCCTCGGTGTGCCAAAGAGCGCGGGGCCCGAACCGGAACCTGCTCAACATGGCGGCGGCTTTCGGGCGAGAAGTGAATGACCATTCTCCACGGATTTCTTGAAGCTGGCATGGTGGAGGCCATCGCTCCATCCCGGGTTGGAGGCCATCGCATTTGAGGGCCTCCGAAAGCCAAGTTGGACCCCACGGCCTTCTGTCCTCCTTGGAAGAAAAGAAACATGAACAAACCACCCCAGACCATCCATGTCTGGTATATATGCCAGACAAACTCCACCTGATCGGTAACTAGGCCAGTCCCATGCCCAAAGAATCCCGGATGGAATATGTGCCTTAATCCACTCAATGGGTGATATGCTTTAGGTTGTTTTAAGGGTCAATGGGGTGGTAAATCTTCCAGTCCCATGATCGTTGTTTATAAAGCATGGATGCTAAACCATTGTAGGTGAATATACCTTGGGTCTATCCTATTACATAATAGTGATCATTGTCTACTGACTGTTGCAGGTAATGGGACCAACCCAAGACATACCATTGTCTCACAGTACACCCCACAAAAACAAAAACAAAAACGTCAACGATGCTTTCAATGGTCGAATGGAAGGCCCCCACGCTTCACTTCGCCGAGGAGCCGCCCCACCTGGTGCCCTCGCCGGAGATACTCCACGAAGCGGTTGGCGTAGCGCCGCCGCGCGCCGCGCATGGCCTCCGGCCAGGTCGGCCACTTGCCCAGGAGCCTGCGCACCTGACAGCGGAGCCGAGCTGAACAACCAGGAGTCGTTTCAATTGGCGAAGGCCATGAACGTCGCGGGGTCATGAAAAGCCAGAAACCCCAACAAACATCAATAGTTGCCAAGGATCTCAGGAATCACTGGTCGGACCTATGCCCAGAATGTTCTTCCTATTTCCATCTGCCTTAATCAGGTCTAATCAGTATGCTCACGCACTTTAAACTCTGTGGTTCTTGCCGGAGCTCTTTATCTCTAAATTCAGAGGCTCCCATCCGAGCTCATCCATCTCCAAGCTTCAGCGCGCCTCCAAGGTTTCTACCCCATGGGAGGAACAGAAGTCGACGCTCTGCTGCAGGGGCCGCACTGGCCTGGCTGATGCGAAAGCTGGGACCTCCTTGTCTATGCCAAAGGTCTATGCCCTCAGAATTGTTTTTTTTCAAAGTCAATCTACCAGAGCCCCCTAAGGGGTGTCCAATTATAGCTCCTTAGAGGTTAAGGGGTGTCCATTAACCACCCTTTGGGGGCCCTGGTACATGCTTTTGGGGGAGTGAAAAACCATGGGACCTTCCGTGTGGCTTCTCATTACACCCATTCTGGGATTCCTGCTGGTTCGAAATAGCCATGATCTATCATGATCTATAATTTTATAACACATGTGCTCGGACCGTTTGTGGGGGGCCAGTCTAAGAGGTTCGTCTTTTAGATGGGTTTCACCTTTTTAGGGTTGTGATTTGAGTGTCACCATTTCCCGGATGTTTACCCCTTTGGTCTGCCTTGGTGCGCATCTCATGATGCAAATAGTAAACCTTTTTCAGCTGAAAAGATGCCCTTGGCCATTGTGCTGCGCTACTTTCATCGAACCGTTCAGCTCCACCAGGGAGGGCACGTGGGATGTCTTGACATGGAGGAGGGGTCCGGTGGTCAAGACCGGACCGAGCTTCCCAACGAAAGTCACTTCTGAAGTGTAAGTTCTCTTCCCTGGCTGTGATTCATTGATATACCATCTGTTTATATAACTGCTTCTGGTGCTTGGAACCAAGTTGGGCACTTCAGGGCAAAGAGTCTTCGAGACAACCACGGAAAAAAATCCCCCACCACTTCCATTCACCTTCCAACTTCGAGGTGCTTCTCGGGCTCCGGCTCTCCCATGATGCAGGGCCCATAGATCTCTCCCAAGGAGTTATCGATCAACAGCTTCGTCCGACCGAACTGCTGGCAAATCAACGCCGCGGTCTGCACGCAGCGCAAGAACGGCGAGGTCACCACCTCAACACCGATTCAAGGTCCAAAACGGGTGGAGAATCAAAAAGGGCTTATTTTCGAAGGGAACACCCCCCAACCACCTCAACACCGTGGTGAGTAGAGAACACCCCCAACCACCTCAACACCGTGGTGAGTAGCGAACACCCCCAACCAGCTCAACACCGTGGTGAGTCGTTGACTTCTTGGTCCACTAGAAATCGGTCCAAGTCTCCAGCGTCTCCAGCCCCACGCCCCTTCGGTGAGGCTGGAGACTTGGGCGAAGGAAGAACCTCCAAAGTCGGGTTGCCGTGGTGTTCGGGTCCGGGTCTGCGGTCGGGTATATCATCCGTTAACGGTTATGAGAAGGATTGAACATCCGTTGGACTCGAAAAACACGTCAAACGAACACTGGGTCTTTCACATCTGAGACACCACCGGATCCGAAAGCTCAGCAGCTGGGCCCGACGAGTCCACCTGGGTCCATGTGGGTGGTCTTTCCTTTCGCGTATTCCGTGGTCCACAGTTGGTCCCACACCGAAATGGCCTGCTGTTTTGGGCCATCCCACGGCCCGATGCCACGTCCCACGCACCGACCGGCGGTGTGTTGGAAGTCGCCCCCACCGGCGCCGTGTGGCGCCTTTGCTTTGGTTGCCCAGTTCGTGCATCCAGCCACCGTTCACCGCCCCACCGAGCGGCGACGTGAAGGTCGGCGTCCAAGTCCTGGAAGGTCTTCCGAAAGCGCCAACCCAACTCTTCAGCGCCGGCCAGGCCTGTGCCAGCGCGGTTGGAAGGGCGCTCCCAAAAAGGTGGAAGAACTCTAGAAAGACATCCATCAACTATGCCAGTTGGGTACCTCAGGCTTTCCGGGTCCCACTTCAGGTGGTCAAACCTCAGGGGGAGCGCTACCAGAAGCAGTGAAGTTGGCAGAACGGCCACGCCAAAACGGGACGGAATGGGACCGCCCACGTGACCTGCATCGCTCAACGGTGGGTCGTAGGGCCAATGCTTGGAGTCCTGCATCAAGCACCTCGGACGGAAGCTCTGAGCCTGGATGATGGATCCCTATCCCCGTGATGCGCACCAGCACCAGGAGGCACGTGCCGCGAAGTCCATTGCCCGTTGAACGGTGACGAAAGATCAGATTTCGGGGCGCTTTTCGGGGCGTAGACTGAAGTCGTCTTCGGTGGGTCAAAGGACCTGCTGAAAGATCTTTGGAAAAACCATCTCTTCCGGGATTTGGAAGGTTGAAGCAAACATCTACGTTGACTGAAAGGCCCTACCTACCAGGTCTCCCAGTCTCCGAGGGGGGTCGGGCCATGGGGAGCCTCGCTCGCGTCCACGTCCTTCCAAGTGGCCATGGCAAGCCCTTCACCAATGCCCCGACGTCGTCCGCGCGCTCGGCGTGCCGCACCACTGCTGCGAAGCGGAAGTCCGCATCGTCGTCCATGGCACGGCAAGCGGTTGGTAGGTTGGGTGCGTGGTCTGTAGGTTTCTAGCTGGCTATATGCATTAATAGTGATTGTGTGTGGGCAAGGACGTCGTTTTGACAACTTCAACCTGGAAGACCCCTGACACTGTTGCAGTACAGCTCTTTAGTCCAGCAAAATGTCCTGTACTAGGCGCCGGGAAATCAAGAGTGTATCGTGATCAAAACGGTTTTCCATCTTCCATCTGCCTCTCAAAAACCCATCGACCCGGACTCCGCATGGGCACCGGACTTCGGGTGGGCCGAAGAAAAGCTGCGCCACCGCAGCTTTAACATATGAAAAACACGGATCCGACCGATCGACGGCGCATCTGAAAAAAAATACCGAAAAAGTCCACCTCCTGTCTTTGGCGGGTTTTGTTGTGATTCGTTTGTTGTTGTCTTTTGGGTGTTTTCAGTTCCGTGTCATGACAACGCCCATGAGAACATGCGGCTCAAGGTTGCACGCTCCATGTTGCGCTCTATATGCATGTAGAAACTTGAGCGTTGCCTCTCCACTTCTGCCACTTCACATCTTTCACCGAGGCTCTAGACTCGCCTCCCAAACCCCTCCCCCGTTGCCCTCGCCGCTCGCTCGCTTCGCCGGACAGGGTGCCGAGTGCAGCCGCTGCGACCTCGGTCGCAGAGAACTCGGGGGCTCGCCCTTGTTCGACTCCGTTCGCTTGAGGACTTGTGGAGCACGTGAAAACACGAACATGAAGGGTGCTTGGGGATTGAAACGGCTGGAGCCAGGGTCTTTCTTCAGTCCCTATACGGCCGCATTTTTGCGTTCCTGCGTTCCACATGTTGTTCCACCTGATCGCATTATTGAGGGTGAAGTTCTTCACAATCCCTACAGTAGGGCCTAGGGGCTCTCTTGGCGTGGCTTCGCAGTCCGTTTGGAAGCGCCACCAGGGCGATGGGGACGGGATGGCAAGGATAGAGTGGTCTTCTAGCAGCCGTTGGCATCTGAAGAAATGGAACCTATATACCCCCCTCCACTACCCCTTCATAAAGAACAACATAGGTGTGGTGTACCCTGGAGGTAACACAACAAACCATCGCTGGCACTTGCTATCCTCGAAGCCGAAACCATGGAGGGATAGTTGGCTCGGGCCTTTTTTCAGCTCCATCTTCCCGCAACAACTTCCAAGTGGCCATCGAATAGCAAGTGGCTTGTGAGCTCCACACCCCGCCCCGCCGCGAGCGCCCCGGGTGGGCGCACCCAGGAAGCGGCTGTGGTGGTTCGGTGCTCTTGCGCTTCCTGGAGGCTGGCTACGGCTTAGCATATACTTTAGATGTTTTTAAAGGCTCTGAGGTTCCAGGCATCCCCTGCACACCTCTAACATTCTTAGGTTGTTTCCAAAATTGTTTAATTGTTTCTAAAATTGTTCCTAAAATTGTTTTAATTGTTTGTAAAGTTGTTCTAAAATTGTTTTAATTGTTTGTAAAATTGTTCTAAAATTGTTTAATTGTTTCTAAAATTGTTTCTAAAGTTATTTTAATTGTTTGTAACATTGTTCGAACATTGTTATTGTTTCTAAAATTGTTTCTAAAATTGTTTAATTGTTTCTAAAGTTGTTCTAAAGTTATTTAATTGTTTCTAAAATTGTTTCTAAACTTGCTTAAGTGTTTCACAAACTGTTTCTAAAATTGTTTGATTGTTTCAAGCATCGTTTGTAGCATTGGAAAGATCGTCAAATTGCCACTTAAATTGTGAAATCAGTTGGATCATTTGGATATATAGCGGTTTGTAAGTTTGAAATACTTGTCGTTATTGTTTGAACATGTGGAGAAAGCATGCTTTGCAAACATGACCGAATCAGCGAACGGCGCCAATCAGCGAACGCACTTTTTCATTCAAACTGGCGGCCAGCAAGTCATCAAGCAAAACCTTAGCCTTAGCCCATCTCCCTACCTGGCCAGTGGCCTTGGCTGCCGTTTCTTCAACAAAGCCAGTGCAGCCATGGAATCTCCACTACCTGGCCAGTGGCCTTGGCTGCCGTTGCTTCAACAAAGCCACTGCAGCCAAGGCAGTTGCCACATCTTCTGAGCCGGGATCACTTGCATCGTCCCGTCGAGGAATCCATGGGAGGGACGCGACCCCAGCTTGGAAAATAGCCATAGCCACTGGGAGCGCCATGGCGTTGCCGGCAAGGTCTTGGAGGAAAGAATGAGAAGAGCAAGCAGCAGGCAGGCTGCATTTATCTTGAAGGTCTTGGAGGAGCGAAATGGGAAAGCCTTGAAACATCAGAGCTTCCTCACCTACCATGAGCCGCTGGCGCGACTCCATCCACAGCTGCGGCCCTGGCAGCATGGTCGGCGCCAGCTGTTTGGGGCTACATTCTCTTTGCCAGCTGACAAAGCCTCCACGTCCAAAGCCTTGACAGCTCTCAGGTTCAGGAGAATACGGCTTTCAATCTCTGCCAAGACAAACTCACCAAGTTGCTCTGACCCTATGGCAGCTTGCAAGCTCTTCATAGAAGGCTTGCTCAGCAGGACTGCTCATAAAACTTGTCATACTCACTGTAGAGGCAATTCTGAGCAGCTTTGGCCAAAGCTAGCCTCAAAGTATAGCAGGTTCCCAAAGATTCAACGCCCAACAGTTCCAGGTGCTTGCTGCTCTCCTCAACAGACGTGACCACAGACTCTGGAGAAGAAGTTGGGCTTGATACTGCTGTGAACAGGTTCTGGAAAGCCAAAGCTGCTGCCTCTAGGGAGTCGAGGTCTTTGAGTTCATTGTCGAACAAGTCCCTGTTGGAGCTTTTGTCCATTCGCTTGCTGTGTTCCCTGGCCTGTCTGCCAATGGACTTGACTTCAGCAATTCGATCGGCACAGCTCTGCTTGAAGGTAGCTTGGGAGTGGGCGTCAGGCTCTGGCACTGCGTCATCGACCTTCACCTTTGCCAACTTGGACTTCAGTTCAACAACTTTGTCCTGCAGGTTGCGCAAGGCCCCTTTGGGCTCGCCCATCTGCAAGCAGTGTGTTTCCACTGTCCTGGCTGCCCTGCTTCCCAAAGCCTGTTGATGATGACGACGCCTTCCCTTTGGCATCACGACCTCTTGGGCCAGGCTGTTGCGATCCTGGCCTGTGGCCGCTGTTGAAGGCCTGCTGGTTGAGGGCTTGCTGCTGGCTGTGGCTGGATTGCTGGCTTGCTGCTCGCCGCGTCTACCTGGCTTCTTCTTTGCGTCAAGGTTTGCTGGAGCCTGATGTTGTTTTGGTTTGCTGGGGCCAAAAAAGGAAGCAGACAATCCATTTTTTTCTGATCCACTGCTGCTTTTAGTGCCTTCTGAGCTTGAGTCATCCTGACTGTCTTCGACTGCTGCCTGGTGAGCGGCCGCAAGGTTTGATTTGGGCGAACTCGGCTGGTAGCCTCCCTGGCGCAAGGCGTCGAGGACTCCTTCCAGACTGAGCTCAGAGCCTTTGCTTTCCACTGCCATTTTGTCTCGCTGCAGGGACCCTTGATTGATCTGCTCCAAAGCTGCTTTCCTCTTCCTAGCAAGGCCTTCGTCTAAGCCTGTGCGACTGTCGTGAACCAACTCAGACTCCTGCAGGGCTGAGTCCTGGTACTCTTCGTAGTCATACACACCCTTCTTGCCAGCATGAATCCAAATTCCTTTCACATCTCTACCCCAGAGGCGCTCTATCACTTCCTTGGTGGAGTCGTAGTCCCCATACTGTTGGGAGTCCCATGCCTCCTGAGTAACAAACTGTTTCTTGGGGGCGATAAATTTGCCACCTGTGCTTCTGGTCATCTGCATTTGCTTCAAGGCTTCCTGGAGCTCCTTCTTGCTCTGAAGGCGTTTGCGAGTGGGCCCGCCTTCATTGTGCTGTCGGACCCAGGCTTTGCGGGAGGCTAGAAACCCTCTATGATCATTCTGGTTTGCCTTCTTCGACACGTGCTTGTAGTAGTCATCCACGCTCTTATGCTCCTTGTGAAGGCCTTAGGACTGGGGGCCTGCTGCCTTTTTGGCCTGCTTGCCTTAGGACTGGGGGGCCTACTCAAATGCCTTGGGCAAAGGCACAGGTTGCTTTAAAAAACGGTGGGGGCTTTAAGCAACCTTAGCCAGGATACCCAGGGCCCGATATACGTTAAAACATATCAGGCACAGCCTGCCACTTGGAACGCGGACAGTCTCCCCAGAGTCTTCCTCTTTCGCTTTCTCGTAGCTGCGCCAAGGCAGGCGTCCTTCCATCTCAGGGAAGATCTCATCAGTGGGGTACTCTAAGGGGGACTCGTCAGTGGAGCGGCCATTGCACAACTGGCAGCAACGTGGCTTCCGCAAGGTCAAGCTAATGCGGGCAAGGCCACATGCCTTGGAAGCTGCTGTTGAGGCTCGCCCACTCCTGGCCTGTGGCCTTGGCAACCCGGCCTGTGGCCGAGGACTGTCTACACAGGCGTCTTCAGCAGCTGGCTGTTCACTCTCGGCACTTTCAGAACTCTCTGAAGTGCTCGCCATGGCTGGCCAAGGGCCAAGGCTTGTCAAAAGGCTGGTGGCCACTTGAGTGAGAGCGATTGCACAAATTGCAGAAAATATGTCTAAAACATTCAAACAATATCGCAAACAATTGCGAAAACAATGTAAGAATGTGATGTGTACGGAAAACCATGAGTTGTGTACGGAAAACAATGAGTTGTGTACGGAAAACCATGAGTTGTGTACGGATCTAAAATTGTTACATTGTTTCTAAAATTGATATGAAATTTTTCGAAATGTTTCCAACATTCTAACAAATCTTTGTGACGTTTGGCTTGTGACTTTTGGAAGCCAACCGCTGACACTGACAGGTGGCCCTCGCTTTTTGAAACCACTCGCCCAATCAAGCTACATGGCCCACAAGGGCGTCCAAGGCTTCTGAATCCAGGCCATCTGCAAATTGGGCCAGCTGGATCCCACCCATGCTAACGTGGCAATCGCGCTTGTTGCTCCCCCAAGACGTCGCATCAAGACCACTTACCAACCACCTTTTCAGTCTGAGTTGACACTCAGCGTCTGACAGGCCAGACTTTGACATAGCCTTTTTGCACTGTAGGCCAGGGCGGTTGGTGTCTGTGTGGCGCCCACAAATAGCACCCCATCCTGTGGGCTCTTTGCTCCCAGCTGCGTGGATTGGTGCGATTTGAAAGGATGGGTTAGTGCCCCAAACACTAGCACGTCGAACATTATGCCTGACTTTGGGCCTTGGCGCGGCCAGTGGCCCAAGTGCTGGCTCAGAAGGCATGGCTGAGCCAGTCTCTCTCTCTACTTCAGTCGACCTGGCCGGTGGCCCGAGCCCTGGCTCAGAAGGTTTCGCCTCTGGCGCAGCCTCAAGCTCATTGTCAGTATCTGAGTCAGACTGAGAAGACCCACCGTGACTTGGGCTAGGGGACATGTCTCGTCTGGCCATCTTAGCGAAACTGCTGGCCAGGCTGGAGCGCGCTGCCCTTTTTTTCGGAAGTGGCTTTTTGTTCAAAGCTTTCAAGGCGGACATGGCCAGCTTTAGCTTTTTCTCCTCATCCATTGTCCTTTCAAGCGACTTGCGCTCGACCGCCCCCTTCCATAAAATGTCAAAATGGCTCAGTCGCTTGACAGGGCCAACGCCAAGCACTGAAATGCGCCAGTCCTCTGCTTTGGTGGCGCAGTGAACGCACACCTGGACATCGCTCTTCAGGGTTAGATGTCCATCAAGGCTCTTCTCGCAAGCCAACACTTGGCAGATGTCTGGGGGGCAGAATCATCATCTAGCTCTTTCAACTCTAAGAGCGCTGCCTGGATAGGTTTTTTCCTTGTAGAGTAAGCAACGGCCACATGGTACGGAAGAGCTGTTGGCGACCTAAACTCTAACACCAATGGCTCCTCTGAAAGAGCAGTTGGTTTGGGACCCTTTCGTAGAGTCACTTCAAGGAAAAAAGCATGCAACCGCTGGAAATACGCAAAGGCTTGCGGGGTCAAACAATGTGGGCAGGAATCTGGACGGCACACAGGCCACAGCGGCGCCCGCAGCAAAGGAGCGCCGTCCATGCTGTCTGGACTTTCAGGCCGCAAACTGCGGCTGAAGCTTGTAAATTCTGTGCCCGTGAACCTGGCCTGAGGCCGAATAAAACCTGGCCTGAGGCCAACGCCAACATGAATTGAGTGTTCAGTTGCCTGCATCATCAGCAGACATGAACCCCTCAGAGGCATCACTATATGATGCCTCTATGCGGGAGCGCAGGGGGCTGAAACGCTCACAAAAGAAGTAGCACACAGTGCACCAGCCAATCAGCGCAAACACACATAGAGCTGCAAACCATGGCGTCTCCAAGCAAATGCACTTGCACATTGCAAAAGCATAGCGGTGGTCATGAAAACACATTGGATTGAAATCCTGAATGTCCAGTGTGGGAACATACCTGACCTCTTCTGCCATGGAAGAAAACACATCCTGTCGTGGTTCTAATACCCTTCTTGGACCAGAGTCTAGAAGCGGTAGCACAGCAGCAACAAAACACACAAATGCAAACAACTTTCAATAAATTGTTTCCACAAAAGAAAACAATTAAAACAATTGTCAGAACAATTGTTGAAACAATTTCCGACCTCAAAAGAATATGTCGCTTGTTTTTTGGGCGTCCCCATCACCGGAGGTTTTGAAAACATTTAACGAGTAAGGTTTCCTCGTTCTGGATGAGCTCTTTCAGCTGCAAGCTGAAATTATCCAAGCAACAATCCCTCTCACCAAAGAATTGGCGCGCCTTTTCTTGTTGGAGTTCCGGGCTCAAGGCTGGCAACTCGGCCAGTGGCCATGGGTAGCGGCCCCAAGGCTCAAGAAGCTTCCGCCAAAGCTGGCCCAAAATTGTTAGAAGACAACGCCTGGTTGTGCGCAATCTTTCTGCTCTCCAAGTCAGCACAGGACCATAAAGCCCAACCAGTGGAATCCAAGCTGGAACCTGGACAGTGTCTGCTGTTTCAAGAAGCAGGTCACACAGCTCCAAGCTGGCAGCACTTGCAACACTGCGAAAAGAAGCCGCCAACAATCGGAGCAAAGCAGCGCGGCTTTTGTGCCTGAAGCTCGGACCAGGCCCGTGGCCGCTCGGACGAGGCCTGTGGCCGCTCTGGGCACGTCTGGGCACACAAGGCCTGTGGCCACCCCCATATCGCCTAGCAATGTCAGCAAGCTGATCAGCATTCATCACTTCTTTGGCTCTTTGGGTGGGGTGAAATCCACTGGGCCCAACCTTTGCCTCTTGGCCTTAGGCTCTGGCGAGGGAGTGCCCAAGAAGTCACATTCGCAGTCCCGAGCCAGTAGGTGTGTCCGCGCTGCATCACTTGGCTGCAGGTAGGGTGTAAACATGTCCATCAAGCAGAACCAACAATACAAGTATGTCATGGCAACGTTGCGGCGCGCTTGGGCTGTTGTGGCTTGAAAGCTTGGTGGCAGCATGGAGTGTTCAAATCGTTGAAGTGAAGAGGTTTTCAGAGGCGAGCAAACTGTTTACTAGCCTATGACTAAGGAACAAACTGTTTGAACAAACAAAAAGTCTACAGCAACCTTTTTCTCAAGGTTCAATACATCATATGTTTCAAACAGTTTAACAATGTTGTATACAATGTTATAAACAATGTTTCGAACGAAAACAATGTTATAAACAAAGTTTTGAACAATGTAACAATGTTATAAACAATGCTTTAAACAATATAACAATCTTTTAAACAATGTAACAATGTTATAAACAATGTTTTAAACAATATAACAATGTTTTAAACAATGTTATAAACAATACAACAATGTTGTAAACAATGTTTTAAACAATATAACAATATTATAAACAATGTTTTAAACAATACAACAATGTTATAAACAATGTTTTAAACAATATAACAATATTATAAACAATGTTTGAAACAATATAACAATGTTATAAACAATGTTTTAAACAATTAAACAATTGCAAAAACAATGTAAGAATGTTTCGCTTGGTTTTCAAAGTGTTCCCGACACAGTGGGTTCTGAGAACATCTAACATATACTTATCAATTGAGCAAAAGGGTGCTGAGAGTGTTCTTTCGCCTGCTTTTTGGTCGTTTCCCACCTGGAGAATTGGCCAAGAAGTGGTCGTGGCGGTGGCTCAAACGAGCTTCGAGGAGCTGCCATCGCTGGTGGCCACCAAGCTTCGAGAGACAACCCAGGTCTTCGGGGAGGTGGCGCCTCAGAGTCGCAAACATGCAAAGCCAAGCAGCCCTCTTTCAGGGTCAAAGGGGTTGCCCCTACCAGGACCCTCCAAGGGGTGTCTATTTATAGCCCCTTAGCTGTTAAGGGGTGTCCATTAACCACCCCTTGAAGGCCCTGGTATAGAGCCTTTAGAGGTTAGGAATTAATTTCATTGAGGAGTTGGTCATATTTAAGAACACGACTCGACTCGGGTGTCGAACGGACCAGGAAAGGAAGCAGTTCCGTGGCAGATGCTATGGGTTTAAAGGTCTTTGAGGTCCTTGACATGGCCGAAAAAGGGCCCCCCCACTTCCCACAAAGCCTGCTTCCCTCCCAAGTTCTCTCCGAGCCACGCCCAGTGCAGTCCACAGGCGCCACAGCTAAGCTTATTTGCCTCACTGCCACGCCAAAGCCCTACCGCCTGCCAGTCCTATTGATGGAAAAATCCCAGGTGACTGCAGCAAATGCTATGAAAACGTCTGAAAACACGTTGCCAAATTGCCAACACCTAGCCCAAAAGAAGACCATATATGCATAGAGGGGGAAAACGTCGAATGAAGGCCACCATGAAACATCTCGGAACGAACATGCACACCAAAAAGAGGAAAGGCTTTTGAAAGGTCAAGATGCCTACAGGTCAATCAACAAAAAACTGCTTGGCACACGATGTGCGAAGCCTTCGCAGGAGTGACTTCCGGAATTCAGCGACTCGCTAAGTGACTCGGAAAGTGGTCTTTCACTGCCGCCCCAGGCAATTTGACACCAGGCAGCTTGAGGACCTGGAGTTCCACGCCCTTCGGACTGCGCCCGGGCCACCCGTGGAAGCCTTGGAGGCGTCCCTGCAGTCCCATGGCTATGGCTGACTCAAAGACAGATGGGGTTGAGGATTAACGATTTTCAGAAGAAGATTTAACAAAAAATATGTTTTTTTGCCGCTGTTTGCTACTTGCTTCATTCATCTGGTGTGTTCTTTCATGGTGTGTTCTCTTGGCGCCTCACGTCAAGAAGCTTTGCATCAACCAAGCCATCCTCGTTTCTGAAGAACCGACACCAATCAGCTGTCCCATGATCCATGACGATGATTCATTACAGTAACATCCATGTTAATCCTACACCCATCCGTCCCCATTCCGTCCACATCAAACCACCTCCGTCCCTCCATCCCACCTGCTTTTGCTTCTTGGATCCAAACATCACACGCCTCTCAACACGCCAGGGGGCTCAAGGCGCACGCCACGGCCTCCTTCGCACTCTCCGTCGCCAGCACCGCCTCCCCGGTGCTCAGTGAAGCTACCTGAGACGGGCGAGGTCCCTTCGCCCGGGTCCCGAGCCCGCGGTAGCTGGGCCTTCCCTACAGCGCCTGCCATGGCCTTCCGGACAAGGCGACAAACTCTCAGACTTTGGTCCTCAACCTGCACTCCCCCAGCTCACATGGACCCTAAGGAATCGCAATGTGGGTCCATGTGACATCCATGGGGTAAGCTTGTTGAATGGAATCTGAGCGGAGCGACCTCGAGGGAAGCTGCGCCAGTTGGGTGTTTGATCGAGGGAAGCTGCTGGGATGTCCCAACTGGTTTCCCCTGACCTCCAATCAATCAATTAGTCTAATTCAACGATTATGCGATTCATGTGCAATTCAATTCACTTCAAATCAGTCAATGAACAAAACACGTGCTTCGCGTAGTATGCCAAAATTTTGAGAAACGGCTTCATGCAATGCTCTAATCAAGGATCCATTGTCCACAATGAAAAGCGCTCTCTCAGAAGACTGGCCAACTCCGCATTGGTTGAGGGTGTTTGCTTCTGTTCATCTGTTCACGCAACTGGGTAACTATGTAAACTAAACAGTGACATGACAAACCCGTCAAGACAATGTGGGCGCACATCTAACCAGTTTTCGGGAAGGAAGCGAGAACCCTCCTTTTTGGTGATGCCACTTGGGTGATTATGATGATTTTGGTGATGGCACCCGCAAACCAACATCCACAACTATCAGCAAGTCCCAGGTCGGTTCCACCAAAAGCGTGTCTGGCCCAGGCGCGAACCGCACACCAAAGCGTCCAAAGGCGGTCTCCAGCTCGCAGGCATTCAACGTCGAGGTTCGTGCGTCGAGACGATCGTCTGTGGGAGACCGGAAGGTCAGCCGCACGTAGGCACCGCCCACCTGAGCAATTGAGGGAAGCTGGAAGCTGCAGAAGAGAGGTTGAGGGTATGTCTCGAGCTCGGAGAGAGTGCCCTTCCTTGGGATGCAAGAGGCAAGGACGTTACGAACGGGGCTCCTGGCATCGCTACGAACGGAGCAAAAAGCTACGAACGGAGCAAAGGGCATCGCTACGAACGGGGCAAAGACGCTACGAACGGGGCTCCTGGCATGGTCTTACGGAGAAATCGTTGGTTCGAGGACTTCAAAAACCTCAGCAGTCCCAGCCGATGATCTGATGATGCACTCACTCTCAAAGGAGCCTGGCTTTTGCTTCTCTTCCTGTTGGTCCATGAGCTCTTTCTAGGGGCCGAGCTGGTCTGCTGTCCATACCACACTCATCCTTTCATATCCTTTCCACCCCTTACTGGATGAAAAGCGGTGGCTGAAGGAAAGAACATGAAAGAACCGGAACGAACCTGTTGGCGAGCGTTGGGTGTTTCCAAGTCGGCCCGCCACAGTCGATCCCATTCAATCAATCTTGGCCACCAGCCTTACATGGGACATGGTGCCTACAGAGGTTAAGTGACCTGAACTAGGACCCTACAGGGGTACCTATAGGATAGTCTATTCTTCAACCTCTGCTGGTGGGACAAGACCACCAACCTTTGGCATCGGTTCTTTGCCTTCCCACGGCCGCCGCACCCGGATCCCGACCTCCTCGGCCGCGAAGTGCGCCCGCGCTTCGGCGCGCTGCCGCGCCGCTTGCCGCAAGCCACAGCGGGCCGAAGGGGACACATGGTCCACGGGCCGGGCTTTCTTGGCCCTGAAGGGGCTGCTTCAAATCCAGTGATGCATGTGGCTAAGAAGGAGCTGTAGAAACCTGTTGAGAGCTACTAAGTTTGGACAAGCGGATTTAGGTTTGCTAGCTGCTAGCTTTGAGGTCGTCAACTCTTGGGGCTGGGGCGATGGAAAAAAGAAACCACCAACTATCCATTGAATCCACACACCTTCTTTTTTTACAAACAAACAAACCAAGCAACCAACGGACGGACGGAACGGAATGGAATGGAACGGAACGGAACCGAACCGAACCGAACCGCACCAGACCAGACCAGACCAGACCAGACCAAACCAACAAACAAACACTCTTCTTAGATCTGAACCCATCTCCAGCCTGGTCTTGCTGGGCTTGGCTTCCTCATCTGAATCTAGGATCACCAGCGCAGTTTCAGCTTCGTCGTCCAGCTCCACCACCTCATTCAAAAGAGCAAACATGCCGATATTTGAAGAAAAGACTCTTAAACAAGTCATCAACTTGATCCTCTTCTTTGCTTTATGAGAAGCACTCATCCCACACAGTAGTCTGCAGTGGGTAAAACAATCGCAAATGACAAACAAACCTCCGCAAAAACCAGGAGAAAAGAACATGTTCTGGCATCCTTCCACGCTCTTCCATGTCCTACCCATCGTCTCCTACCGTTCAAAGACGTATACGTACTTCTAAAATCCCCGGCATTCCCTGGCCTCCACTGGTGGCGCCGGCTCCGCCTTCTTCGCCGCCTTCTTCGGCTTCACCTTCTTTGCCTTCACCTTCGCCTTCCGCGGCTGCTTCTTCACCGGCCGCCCGGCTCGCTGGCTCGGGCGGAACGGCGCGGAGATCACGGTCCTGGGCCGCTCGGTCGGGGCCGTTTTTCGCCCGGAGCCAAGGAGTTCCGTCGCTCGACATGTTAGTCTGGCAGCCACCATCACAGCTAAGATATATAAGATTTGAGAAATATTAAGAAATGTATAGACCATACAATACATTGGAATATCACGACTCTACATGATTGTGGATATATAGCAAAGACTGTAGCAAAGAAATCAAAAAATATTAAGTCATTAAGTATGAAACTTCCTTTCAATTCGTCAAACTCGCTATATCTCCTTTCCAAGGCCCGTCGCTGACCGGCGGCGAGCAGTTCATAAGCTGCCTTGATCCGCTGGAAGCGTGCCGTGCTCAGGTGCGCGGGGACGCTGTGGTCCTTGTCCGGGTGGTAGCCTGAGGGGCGCGGTCTCGAGCGTCCAAAATGGCTCCACTGGGTGACCCCATCCACTCATTCAGTTTGGATGCGTGATGATGTGTCTAAAGACGAAAGCTCACGTCTTGATACTTGAGGCCGAGGGTTGGTGACGAAAGCACACGTCCCAGAGACCTCCCTATAAGGAGTTGAACCTGTGTGACGTGGGGGGGCCGTAGATATGAAGTTTTAACGCGATGCGGCACTCTCCAGGAGTCCACCCCCTCACTTGCTGCAAGAACAACTCCAGCTAGCTGGTTTCGTGATTAGGATTATGAAGAAGGGTAAGTGTCAGTGCCATCCTTGAGGCCGTTAGTGCCCCACAATGATCCCAGTCCGGTCGTCCGGCTTGTGGGTGCACCGGTCGGGCAAGCCACAACTGGTGTTCACCCAGTCCGCACACGGCCGAATGGCATTCTCGGTAGGCCGGAGGCTTCCAGGTATTCATCAACTTTCACATATCAGGGCCTTTAAGGGGGTGGTTAATGAATACCCCTGAACCTCTAAGGAGCTATAATTAGACACCCCTGGTATAGGTCCTTGAACACGATGTTGGCAAAAGGCTTAAAAAGATTGCTTAAAAAGATTTAAAACGATGCCGCCGGGCACCGTCCATCCTCCCTTTACCGCTCCGGGAAGCGCCGCGACAGGGCGTGGTAGGCCCTTTTGACCTGTTCCTCACTGGCATTCCGCTTGAGGCCCAGCACCACATAGGGGTCCTCCGCAACGGTGCTAAAACATCGATTTCTTTGCCCTGATGCCTGGCCTGTCCCTGAGTCCACGCGAAATAGAACATCGTTCCACTTTTGGCGCACATGCGTCGTCAGCCTACCAGCCGATACAGGGATGGGAGGGCGCCGCTAGGAATCTTATGCCTCCCTCACTCCCCCCAAACCAAAAATCCTGAACATGACCACCCACGTCAGGAGGACTCCCAAAACACAAATGTTCCATCTCCAACCCAAAATCTTGCCCAAAACCCCTCTTCAGATGATTAGATTGCCCCAAAATATCTTCATCTTCATCTCCAAAACTCCCGTGGTGCACGTCCTGGACCGACGCGCGGCCTAAGAAGTTGCCCCGCCACGCGGCTGGGCCCCCCATCGTCGCACATGAACCCGGATGGCTCTGGGCCGGCGGGCCTTCTTTCCGGCGCTTGCAACGCACTTGAAAGACATAGTAGTGGCTTTAATCATCCATAATCATCCCAAGTAAAGGTTGACCAAAAATATCCAGTTCCATTTTGGCTCCTTGTTGAGGTGCTTTTCATGATGGAGTCAGTCTGAGCCATTGGGAGTTGCCTGTATATGTGCACTCAGTGGCTTTGCGGGACATTTCTTGTGAGCTGCGACCTGCAGGATTGATGGTCAAACATCTCTAAGATGCTCTGAGTCTCTACAGTTTAGTAACTCAGGCTTTGTATAGTAGAAGTCTTTGGCAAACATGTTGAACTTCTACCTTGTCCAAGTATCAAGGCTTCCATCGTTACGGAGGAGTCCAAATCAAATGACCAGCGAGCTGGTCGCTTTCCTTGAGCCAGCGCAGCTCCTCATTGTTCAAGGATCACTCAGTGCGACTGATGCTGCACACTTGTTCTTGATGTAACGCTGAGCGCTGACAAGTTCCAAAGCATCAATCCGGCCACGTCCGGCCACCGTTATCCTTGGCAATCATGTCAATATTCTCTGACCTCCATGCTGTGTGCAATGGATGCCTCCATCCAAGAAATGTCAAACACAAGCATCACTACGGGTCATGGGCCGCTTTCCCATTTCTGCGCGCATACGCCCCGCGCGGCCGCGCATACGCGTGGCTCACGATGTCGTCTCCGAGATCCGTGGATGGCGCGCGGGTCCGCGGCTGTCGCACGACACCTGTCAAGCGCATCACACCGAGCCGATCGGGCACAAGTTGATCATCGAATCGAAAAAATGACCCAATATGCTTAGCAAATAGACGTTACAAACGTAACAAAATCATCAAACATCATCTTCAAACTCTTCAATAGTCGATCATTTTGTGACGTTACAAAATGCATGTAGACCCTTGAGGACCATATACCACCCCATTTGAATGGAAAATCCTCTTCAAAGGAGTGTTTCATGAATCAAGAATTTTAAAAAAAAAAAAAAAACCTGTTCCAAGCGTCTTTTCCCCTCTCTGGTCCTTTTTTGCGGGATCACTGATACCTAATCCAATCCATTCCAAAACCATCCAAAACCGTTCTCCTCGCCTCAACCCCGTCCCCTCCTTGGCGTCCACTCCCTTCGCCTCGTTTTTCAATCCCTTCACCTCGGCGGCCGCTTCCACCCGGACGAAGCCGCGAAACCCGGCCGAGCCAAACAGGGGAAGAGGGTGATGAACATGTTTAAACCAACTTGAAGACATGTCATGCGTGTCCGTCATGTGGAAAAGGAAAGAACTAATTAAAGGGATGAGGATATGTGAGCAGGTTAGGGACGCTTCCCATGGAAATTTGAAAGGTACATGAGAGCCCAGATTTCTGGATGAGCCGAGTTGCTGAGATGTCATTGTCTAATGCAACACATCAAGCGCACGTCGACCCACTTCATGCTAGCTGGTGGCCGTTCAACTCTTGGAATCTCATGGGCGCGCCTTCAGGTCGGCAGTCGGAGCTCCTCACCGTGAAGGCCACGGAGCAACTGCGCCACCACGGCGGCGGCCAACTTGGTGTGGCGGTACATGCCTCGGGTTTCGCTCGCGGCCAGGTGGCTTCGGGGTACCTGAAGGACCGGACCGGACTGCGTGGTGCTGGTGCTGCGGACGTGAGACATGGAGGTGATATATGGACTACCTACCAGCACCGGACGATAAACAGGTCTCCGTTCCATGGTGGCTGAAATGGAAAACATCAAAGTTGCAGGTGGTGACCTGGAGGTGACCTGGACTAGACCATAATTCTTTATAATCTTAACCCTTCAAAGAAGGAACGTCGACCGAAATTGAAGATCTGGCAACGGGATTGGGAGCTTTGGGAGCTATGGAGCTTTAGACCCAGAAGTGGGGGAGAGGAGAAGCACCAGAAGTGGAGGGCTCTGGGCCTACTCCAAATATCTGGTGTTTGGTGTCGTGATTCAGGGCACTCTCAGGTACAAGTAGCAAGTGATAGGGACTGTGCCCCAGCTTCACCCATTCATTCACACAATAGAATTCATACCACCCACCAACTATGACCATGCCCTCCGAGGGCGGGACGACGTTTCTTCTCTTCTCCTGCTTCTACCAACCTGGGAGGAACTGGGTCTTCCAAGCCCTCTGGTTGGCCCACTCCCATACTCCACCTGCCCCTCCCAGGGCTCCAATACTCCACCTGCCGATCCGCGTCCCAGAGGCCCAGCACACCTTTATTGTTCAGCCCTCGGGGTCGGTGCTGCTCGTTGCTCACCGCCCGGTCGATGGGAATATCTGCGAACTGCCAGAGGGAGATTCCTGCTGGCCGAGGCGTTCGGCGCAGCACCCAGCGTTCGGCGGGGCTCCGCGCTGCGTTCGGGGCAAGCAGTCGCAGCGTGCAAAGTCGACACGATGGTTCTATCCCGCCGGTGTCAGGATGGTTCTGTTTGGGTCACCAAACCAAGCAAGAGAGCACAGGCTCAAACACCACCCAAAAGCAAACACTTGGCCATATGAACCAAGTGCTCCGCACACCGACGATGAACTCTGCAAGCATTTCACATGACACCCTTTTGACATGTCACATGTCAAACTCCGCATGAGTTGTGGATCGCAAATGCATGCTGCACAACACTCCCCGGACCATGCGGCACATCTCGGTGAAACCGCGACTCCTGCAATCCCTGGGTTGTTGATCACTGCCTCCAGGTGAGTCTTGAGAAGCAAAGCTTGGTACTCTTCGGTCCACTTCCTTGGGTGGTCGAAGTACGCGCCTCGAGGATGGGACCAAAGAGTTGGTTGTAACACCGGACGGGGCTCATTCAGCCCCAAAAGCCAAGAGTACCATACTGCATCTGACTCAGGTCGCTCCTTGAACGGCCCCTGAACGCATGTCGGCCCAACAGCGTTCGGTCCCTCTTCATTGCCTCTGAGACTAACCAGCCTCCCCACGCTGCTGCTGGGCCACTGCTCCACCGGCCCACGAAAGCCAAAGAGCCCTCCAGCCCCCGCCTCCTGCCAGCGCACCGACCGAGCTCACAGGGAACACACCAAAGTGACGTGTGGTTTTTTTTCTGATCACTGGAGACACCCAAGCAATGGGTTTGGTGTTATATTTGGGTGTTATGTTATATGCACATCCACCTCAACTTCATGGTGTTGCGTGTCAACTTCCCCCACAACCCCTCCTCTCACCTTTCTGATTTTGCCACTCAGGCGGCAGCGGATTTGGTGTCCATAACTCTTAGGCCCAAGGTGATTCACCTCATCGGGGGCCACCTGGTCTGACACCAACACATACACTTGCAACGCATGGTTCTGGAACCTCTGGGACAAGTCCTCAGTCAACCACCCTTCGACATCCTTCTACCAAAACCACCACCAAACCACCGTGCTGGTATGTGCTGGCGGTTTTTGCAGCTCTTCGCCCGTTCCCCGTGCTGGGCTCTCCGTGATGAGCATGGGCTTCTGTGCATCCACGTGGGTGGACCACTGCTGGACATGCTCCCAAACATCTGGGATGCCCTCTACCTCCTGCGCAGCAGAGTGGGTGCTGCGGGCGCCGGACTAGGGAAGTCTGAAAAAGGGATCCTTCAGGTTTGGCCCCACTGATTCCAACTCCACTGCAGAATCTTTCATCACTGAAGTGTCACTGCTTGAGATTGGGTGCGGTCGGCACGCCGCGGTTTACGCGACGCGACGGGCTCGCCTGGGGATCGGCGGGCTGCGTGGTGGGATACCACGCCAGGTACAGGTGGAACGCGTGGACGTCCACCGCCTCCAGCTGGCGATCCTCTGTCAGATCCCAAGAGTCCGGAGCCGAACCCCTCAAAGGGGGCGACAATGGACGTTTTGAGGTGATTCTGGGTGCTTCCATTCGTGCGACATCAACACTTGGCGCTCGATGTCTCAAACACCGGACATGAGATCCCCTGAGACTCAACCGCTCGGGTGGCGGACCCAAACCCAGGGCTGAAACCAGCACTCCTTGCCAGGGTGGTTGGAGCCATAGCCGATGAGACGAGTGTGGCCACTGTGCCTCGTGCAGTGGAGCAGGATGAACATTGGGCCAGGCAAGATGTGCTACGATTCAGGCCCTCCCGACCACGAAGTGCTCGGAGAAAAAAGAAAAAAGTAGAGCGACCCTCTCTCATTGCACCCTCTTGGGGCCCGGGTGGTTCTTTCTTTCACGTATATGACTGACAAGTGGGCTTTTCAGCCTGTCGCTGTAGACACGGAAATGGTTGGTCGAAAGAAACATCTCGAAAGCCTATAGAGGTCCACTTGGTTTTTCTTAGTAGGGGCGCCACTGGGGCCACAGCAAAAAGTTTCAAAAATGTATGCAGTTGTTTTCAAACGATTGAAGCTGGATGCTGATGGCTTTCTGAGATGTATGAATTGTTATGAATTGTTTCTTGTTTAAAAAACATGCAATCCAAATTAATTAGATGATTATAGTTTGTTAACACCAAAAATGCACCAGCGATGCCGGTAGAATCTACCCGGTAGGCTGCAGTCCTGCAGCCAGGCATTTCGGTCCCAAAGATCCCACAAGACTTGGCAAGATTTTGGTGGTGAACATGGCCCCAGTGGGTCCCCGTACTAAGACAAACCGCCAGTCCAGTTCAACCTTTTTGAGGGCACCACGGGGTCAGTCAAGGAAATATCCGAAACTCCTTCATTCAAATGACCTGGATCTTCCACCAACCACCCAAAATGATGATCTGTTCCATTCTGTTCCTATCAAAATGGAGGTCCAATGGGTTCCAGTTCCAGGTGGCCCTGGCACTTGGGAAGTCGGACTTAGGACTTTCAAGGCCGCACCAAAACAAACCTTGTCCGCCTAGTCCTCCGCCTGGCCGAGGGCCATGCTGAGGGCCATGCCTCCTGAGCTGCGAGGCCATGGCGTGGTAGATGGTGCGCGTGGCCTCGCTGTCATCGAAGGACTCGCCTTCGTTGAAGAAACCGAAGAAAATGACCTCGGATGGTTCCGAAGGAATCCGGAGAGTTCCGGAGAAAGCAACCCACCAGGTGTGAGAATGGTCTGTTGAAGTTGCTTCAGGGCGCTTGAGGTTGCTTGGTCACCTACTCCAGGCCTGAAAAACAAGTGAACAGGCACAGGGTCGGTTCACACCTTGGCTGTAGGTGGGCTCCCAGCCGTTCACCTGCGTGGCTCGCAGCAATAGAATCTGCTGTTCTTGCTGCATGTTCAAAGGCTCAGACTCTGAGAGCCCCCCTTTAGTGCCACAAGCTGCCCTCACTGCAACAACCGGTTTGTGGAGAATCCCCTGTTTCTCAAGGATTTCATGGTCTTAAAGCCCGGAAGCCATTGCCCACCACGTAATCATGATTGGAGCCTCACCCTCCTGGCATCCACGCAGCCGAGGGGTGGTTCACGGAGGCCACCGCCATCTCCTTGGCCATGCCTCGGACGGAACCCGAAGCCGGAACCCACCCGACGGGCAACACTGGGCATCCAAAAAGGAAATGGATCGGAGGCTGCCCAAAGGGGTGACGCTTTGTTTGTTTAGACGTGCGGAAGGACATTGAGTGGAAGAGAGCAGAAAGCGAGCCGTCTTTTCCGGAGTGCATGCGGATCGTGAGCGTGCTGTGAAGTAAGCTGGTGACTTGCTGAGTAACAAGCCCCTCCATTCTGGAGCAATGAATTGAGTGACTTCCAATCAGAAACCGCAACCCAGCAGCACAGCACAGGAAATGCAAGGGGAGCAGCTGCAAAGGACAGCCGACCATGGCGTGTACAGCAGAACCAACCCGAAGTGCACGTGAGTGAGTGCAGGTGAATGAGTGAGTTAATAGGTCTAACCGAGCGGACGAGTGAAGAGGCAGAAGGGCGGAAGGCGCAAAAATACGAAGAACCCACACCAGAAACATGGGAGGAAAAAGACATGTATACCATGAGTCTCCAAAAATGTGTGTTCTTTTTTCTGCGTGTTTGTTTTTGGTCAAAAATGTTTGCCGTGTGTGCTCGAAAAGCGGCGTTTTCAGAGATGAGGACTCAACAAAAAGGTACAGAGTGAATCTTCCTCCGGACGCGTCCGGCACGGAGTCTGACACGACGCCGTTAGTTGCTCACGCCGAGTCTTAAGGTCTCAGGACACGGAAAGGTCGGATCTGACACTGCACAATCCCCCCAAAAAAAAAGCAAACAGTTCGTGACATATGCCCAAAAAAAAGATAAAGTGTTTTCTTTCAGACACCTCTTTTTCTTGGAAAGGCGACTGTAAAAGGGTCATTGGAGACTCAAGGTACTCATGAAATTCGTCTTCGTTTCCATGTCGAATTGGGTACAGTAACACGTCCAGCCGCATGCGAATGTGCACACTAGGTGCACCAACCGGTGCACCGCCAGAATAGCAAAGAGGCGAAGGGTTCGAAGGGTTCGAAGGATCTCCGCCCCACGTCGTTCGTCGCTTCGTCGGGGGGCGAAGGCTTTGCATCACAAAGGTCGGGTTGTGGAAGTCCTCCACCGTGTTTTGCCAACCGAGCACCTCCTGACGATCGTCGTCGGTTCGGGGGGGCCGTTCGGGGCTTCAGCGGCCCGGGCTCGGTTCTGAGGTTGGTTGAAGTCTAGAAAGGCGAACCGAGCCCAAGACCCGAGACCCTGGACCTTGTAACTATGCAACATGGTGCGCATAGTTAAGCTGGTTTCGCAAGCACAGTTGGACTATGGTATCCCGGTCCCTAACGAAGTCGCTGCCTCCTTTTTAGTGATTTGAGTGCTTGGGAAAAAATATGCAAAGCGCTCTGACATGTTGCCAAAACTCCAGGGTGTAGCATAGACAATAGTGGCTCTTTAAAGTAGCTTGGATGATGATGGCTAGTAAGTTGGTAAAAGGCCTCTCTCTAAATTAACATCTCAAAATCAATCATAATCGTTGTTCACCGGCTGTTACTACTGGGTCACACCCAAGGTAATAGACTAAAAGTAACTAAAGTACATTCCTAGTGTTTCTCCTGCCGGCCGTGAAGCTGTTTCACGGGCCACCCGTTAAACCGTCCTCCCAAACGAGGAGCCCATGCACATCGCAGAGGTCCAAGAACCGCGCGTCTTGCGCGTAGTGGGCGCCGCGCACGAAGTTGGCGCCCAAGCTCAACAAGATCTGCACATCTGCCACCAGCTGCTCGTAGGCGAGCACCTCAACCGTCCAAGAGGCTTTTGGGGATCAATCATGGCGGATCAGTGTGGTTCTCATCAGCATCGTTGAAGTTTGACGGAATAGGAGAAAGACTTCACCGAAAGCGCGTCACCTGGGTTACTTCGTGTTTTTTCCTGTTCCCCCCCCACTCCACTCCACTCCTTGCAAGTGTGCGCCGCCCAAACCACCCAAGAACCGCACGAGGCGCCGGCGAATCGGTCAGGTCATGCCGGTTGAAACCTCGGGTGCGCCGACCGAAAAACCGATGGTCGAAGCACCGATCGGAGGAGTCCTCCCAAACAAAAGACCCAGCTTCACCAGAGCCTACAGGGTCTGCAGAGTTCAAAAGTTCACCAGACCTTCTTGAGTTTCTAGGGATCCAGTCGTACCTTCTCGGAAGGTATGACTGGACCCTCAAAACCTACATAAGAGTGTCTCCTTCCTCACCGTACCTGAGATGGTACTTGGATTTCTAGGGAGTTAGTCATGAGTCAACATCCAGGCCGGCCGACCGATGCACCAAAACGCCGGTCGGAGCTCCAAGCCTTCCTAACCCCCCATGGGTTCTGCGGTTGGCCACTCGACGGGGGAGGATCCATGGGGATTCCATGCTTCGTCCAACAAAGGCTCCATACAAATACAAAGTCGCAACAGCGCCTAGGGCCTAGGGCCTAGAACATGTAGTGTGAGTAAGCTGTGAGTCAAAACATCCACCAGAACATGGTGTAGGTTGACATCCCTCAACGTGAGGAACCGGTGCTTTTGCCGGTGCCAGAGAGCCTCTGACTGGCCATGACCACCGCCCGACGGCTCGAAGAACGAAAACCTCTGCCGACTCCCTGGAACGTTGGTGGTCACAGCCCGAGCCGCCCAGCAGTTTCATGGCGCGTCCATTCACGTGCACCTCCTGGCCCTTGGTGGTCACCGTGCGAAGCCCAAAACGGACCACCACACAGTCCAGCACCAGGTGGGTCCTAAGTCAGCACGCGATGTTTGGTCTAAAACCGGCGGAAAGGACATCCTCAAACGAGAAATGGCTCGAAAACGGTGTTCAAAGAGTTGGAATGGTGGTCTTGGACTTGGACTTCGGTACTGCACACGTTGACGACCAGGACGAAGACTGCGCGTCCTTCGGCAGCTTCATCACCGGATCTCGCTCCCTCCTTGAACAACCTCCCAAACCCTGTCACCTCGGGGGTCATCCTGTCACTTGCCAGGCGAGCCGGAGAGAGAGAGGGAGAGAGGGAGAGAGAAAAACGGCCCCATTTAGTACGGCCCCATTCCAACCTTCGCCTTCTTCGCCTTCGCCTTCCCACCCCCCTCCGCAGGTTCGCAAGCGGTGCGTCCCCAGCGTCGGGCTGAGCATCGCGACCGTGAGCCGATGCAGCGAGGGGCTCTCAGGAGACCAGGCTTGCCCACCTGGCACCGATCGGTGTGTGAGTGACTTGAGCTGAGTGGGTGGGACTGAGTGACTGTGAGTGACGCGCGAAGAGAGCAAAAGTAGGGTTCCACTCATCCACTTCCAGATGGATTCTAATTCTGGACAACTTCTTTGCTCATTTGCAGTTTCAAAGTAGACGGCACAAACCCCAAGAGGTGGTTTATATGGACCATCCCCATCTAAAGGATTCTAAAGGTTATCTTGGGGTGTCAGTGCCAGCTACTCATTGAAACCACGTGTAAATGCCACACATCGGCACACATCGCCCACACCGGGCGCCCTCTTTGCTCCCCGAACCTGGCACTGGCAGGTCCTTCAGCTCGTGCTCCATCTGCTCCCAAGCCTCCGTGCCCGCGCAGCTGGGCGCTTCATCCCAGCGGTAGCGATAGCTGAGCCCTGAAGAAAGAGCTGCGCGGCAATCTGAACCGTTGGTGGCCCGTCTTCAGGCCAAAAAATGTGAATAGTGATCAGTGATGAGTATATCATTTGTGATATGTACAATCAATACGCGTGTATTTTATAGATATATCATATATCTGTGTGTATGTATATATATATATATACACTATCTATATATATATTACACAATGGGTACACTACTCAGCTGCTTGTCGCCTGCAGGAGCCGCTGGCTCCGAGAGCTCCAAGAGGACGTCCACCGTGCTCAAGGAGCGAGGATAGACCTTCACAGGGCAGAACTCCATTGAAGTTGCGGAGTGAGCAATGCTTCATCAGGAGTAATGAAGGTCACCGCTGTGCGCGCACCTAATCCTTCACGATTCACCTC